GCTTTAACAGTTGTTAAAGTGGTTGTTGTATCCCTTTGAATATAGTGGATTAAGACCTCGTTGGAGAGAGGCGAAATCACCTTGACGGGTGGACTGGAGTAGTTTGAGATCAAACGAACCAGGATAAAAATACAGTGTTGTCTAAGCTTTCATTTTAAGATTTACAATTCAACCCCCCTTCTTGTGTTTTTAACATCTTCATAAAGAACTAATAGCAAAAGTATCATGAGGTTGTGATTCCTTGTCCACTTTGATTTCAAGAGTACTCACCTCTTGTTTCCAAGTTTGAGAAGTTTCACAACCAAACCGACAAGGTTCTTCATCCTCCTTTTTATAATTTTGACTATCTACAATAGATCGCTTTAATCTTATGGTTTCTTCAACTTTTGCGTCCAAGTATGTAAAAACTTATTCATTGGAAGTTAATTTCTTATAAGCATGTAATGCCTATTTTTGTAGATTTTAAACACATTTTTCAATTAAATAAAAGACAACTTATCAACGTTGTTGTATCCCAAAATTTTCCCTCTCCTTTTCTCAAGACATTTCTCACAAAGATTTTCAAAAGCTCAAGTTTGCACAAGTACAAAGCAGACAAAAAGGGTGTGCAGATGTAGGTAACTATGTTGAATTCAAAATCTGGTTCAGGCTACATGACTTATCCAAAGGGGTGGTTGGCAGATTTGGACGAATTGAAGAAGAAGCTTCGATCGACAAGCTTTGACTGAGCAGTGGCTTCCTTCATGCTTGCTTCAATCCACAAGTCAATGGCTTCCTTAATGCTTGCTTCGATCCATAAAGCAGTGGCTTCCTTCATGATTGCTTCGATCCACAAGGCAATGGCTTCCTTCATACTTGCTTTGATCCACAAGGCAATGGCTTCCTTCGTGCTTGCTTCGACCCACAAGGCAGTGGCTTCCTTCATGCTTATTTCAATCCATAAAGTAGTGGCTTCCTTCATGCTTCCTTTGATCCATAAAGCAGTGGCTTCCTTCATGCTTGCTTCAATCCACAAGGAATTGGCTTCCTTCATGCTTGTTTCTATCCACAAGGAAATGGCTTCCTTCATTCTTTATTCGACCCACAAGGCAATGTCTCCCTTTGAAACAACCTGCTTCGATTCCATCTCTAATCCCTTCGACACACATAGTTTCTACACTATGAATTACAATTTAAGGTTTGGAAATTTGAACTTTAGACCACTTAATCAACTGATGGTTATTGGTAAGAAAGCAATCCAGAAATTCTTTCATTTTAACTATGCCAATGAGATCATCTTGCATGCTTAATATTTGAGACCATTCTAAGAACACACTTTTGGTGGAAACAAATATTGTTTCGTCTGTTGTTGAGTCTGGTCGAAGGTTATGTGGTCCTTTCGAAGGACACACATTTGGTGGAAACAAATATTGTTTCATCTATTGTTGAGTCTGGTCAAAGGTTGCATGGTCCATTTGAAGGACACTTATTTGGTGGAAACAAATATTGTTTCGTCTATTGTTGATTTTGGTCGAAGGTTATGTGGTCCATTCAAAGGACACACATTTAGTGGAAACAAACATTGTTTCGTTTGTTGTTGAGTCTGGTCAAAGGTTCAGATGAATGTGGTCCATTCAAAGGACATACATTTGGTGGATTCGAAGAACATATAATTGGTGGATTCGAAGAACATAAAATTGTTGGTCCATTCGAAAAACACATAATTGGTGGGAAAAAAATATTGTTTTGTCTTTTGATGAGTTTGGTCGAAGGCTGCTGAATAAAATCCTACATAATGCCAAGCCCAAGTTTGTTATACTATCCACATAACAGCCTAAAACCATGTCAAAAGTAGTCTACTGCACTGCTACGAAACAACCCTGCACCAAGCTTCCACAACACTCCAAAACTGTTGTTAAATAGTCCTGCTATGCTGCTCCTAATTTGCATCAAACTAGCATATAAGAGTTGCACCTCGAAAGTTATGAAAAAAACATACCCAAATTGTTCAAATTTCACTTGTCCCCCCCCCCCCCCCCCCCCCTCCCCAAATCTCATCCAAACTTCATCTATAAAATAGATTGTTCTCACAACACACAAGGGGGGCTTTTGGAGAAGAAAAAAGGAGAAGAAGAAAAAAGAGAGAGGAGAGAACACTAAGGCTGAAACCTTAGGAAACTCTTAAATACAACACCTTTGGAGTGAAAGAATTTACAGCATGGTTCGACACAGCCTTATGCTTCGACACATGCTGTTTTACAGACCCAAACAGAAAGGAAAAATGGTGTGTGAATTGAAGGGTGTGTGAATCGAAGGGTGTGTGATTCGACACATAACATTATGCTTCAATTGACACTAATTTTATTTGGCATTTCAGGTTCGAAAGAATGACACCTTCGATGCATATAAGCATGCTTTGACACGTGCTGTCGAAGGATTTGTTTTTTCTCTCTTTTGCATTGTTTTTGTTTTTTCTATATATTTTCTTTCATTGCTATTCAATATGGTTGTAATAATTAGGACTTTTATTGCTTTTCACCCCCATTTGTACATTTGTATCCCCCATCCCCATAAACTGATGTAATAGCTTAGGATTTTAATTTCCGTAATTTACCACTTTAATATAAATTGTTAGTAACTAGGGTGTGTATGGCAAGATAAAATCAACCTTAGAATTCTAATCAAAGATAAAAAATGCATGCAATCAAATAGACTATTCACACACGTGCAACTCTAGGGTAACCTCGCTTGTTGCCTCAGAAAATAGTCATGTCACTCGAATATGGGAATTTTAACAAAGACCCTCGATAAAAAAGATTGTAGTCCCTCGATGTTGCCTCCTGTAAACGATCTAGTCCCTTACGAAAATTGCTAAAATGTCTCATAAGTTTCCTTCTATGACTATACAATTGTCCCACGGCCATCCCTTCACATCGAACGATGGGGCTTCTTACCAAATCAATGGTAAGATAGCAACATTTAAAGGAGGAGGAAAATAACAAAGACCTTTTGAGTAGGTAGGACGCTCGTAGTTTCTTGCTCACAAACTAAAACTATTTCCACACTTACACTTTCAAAAAATCTTCAAAAACAAACATCTCTTTGAACTATTTTCTAAACCAACACTTTGTATGCATTCTTATAGAGACGAGAATCATTACAAAGTTAGCCGCAACAAAGGAATTTTTACAAAATATTTTCAAACTTACACCCATCACAAAACCCATTTTTAAACAAAGCATCTTTCAGTGATCTAGAAAGCAACTAAGAGCCCATAGATAACTACGGATGAAAAGGGTGCTAACACCTTCCCTTTTCATAACATACCCCCCTAACTCAAGAAAATATCTTGAAAGGTATTTTCTATTCTTTTCACCCTTTCCTTTATTGGATAAAATAAAAGTCGGTGGCGACTCTTGTTATCCGCAACAATTGTGACAAAATGCAAAATGCCCAAGTCAGTTCTTCCACCGTATCACAGAACTGGCGAATTTGTTGGGGAATTTGTGAAGTTGATTATTTATATGTTCTGTTAATGAAGTATTGCATCATTGTGATAATGTTATGTTACGATGACTTGTTATGATGATGTAGTTTGATGTTGGTGTTATGGTGATGATGTAATGATGTTGTTGCTGCATGTTGTAAATAGTGCATCCATGTTGTCATAACTTCAGTTCTTATTATGTTGTGGCCTCGATCCTATGGTGGTGGTTCAAGTACAAGAAGTTAATTCCTATATCGAGGAATTAGTAAAGTGTTGCATAAGGTGGTGGTAATGATGATTGTTGTACTTTGGTTCAAGAGTCAACTAGATCTTATGGTGGTGGATCACGTATCCTATGGTGGCGGAACAGGGAGTAAAATGGACATGTGTGTTCATGACTGGGTACCATAAGCTTTGAGTTAGTGTTGTTTGCATATCATTTTATATGGCATTGCATAATTTTGTTGATGATATATAGTGTGTTAATCCTTGATAATTTATGTGACTATATTTTGATCAGTGTGATAGAAGTTGTATGAGTGATATTTATGACATTTGGGGTTGACGTTTGATTTTCCTGAACTATTATGTTGTTTATTTTAGAAGCAAATACTAATGAAGCTGTTGAGATATCTTAAGATGTTTTAAGTTGAGTGTTGACAACACTTTTTTTGATGTTATCAAATGTTGAAGTTTAAAACTCAAAGTATGTCGTTGTTTTAAATTTAAAATTATTTATGATGAACTCGCTGCAGTATCTTTAGATGAGTATTTGATGTCATGTAAACATCATGTATGTGTACATTTGAAAATTTAAATACTTTGTTGTAACCCGTGTTATGGAGAAGGATATGTATGTTATTTTTATGAAGTGTGACACCATTGTGTTATGTTTTAATTAATTTATTCGTTAATTATATGTGGGGGTTAAAGGGTGTTACATACCCATATAGTATATAGTTAGTAGCATACAATCCTACTAACTAACAATCATTAGTATGCAATCATTCCCAAACTTTTTTATACATAACATAAATAATTAGTAGTTAATGGTTAGGATATGTAGAATCTACTAACACAAGTAAACTAACTTTCAGATCTATTTGCATAGATACAAAGTCCAAATGTTCTACTCAATGCTCCAGCATGGAGCACAACATTAGTACTTCCTGAATAATCAGTATTAAAAAATCACCAAGTTTACCTGCACACAACAGATACACCACTTCTCCTTATTACTCCCCCCTTTTTTCTATAATTTGGCAAAGGGTTAGCTCTTCAAATAACTTAGCATGCAAATAAGGTAACATGCATAAGGTCAGTCATGAAAGGTTAGTATGTTAGTACATACACAACCAGGACATTAAAAAAATATCTAGAACAACATCAAAAGATGCACATCATTATTACAAAAACTAGTCTTGAAAGGCTATAGAGCCCTAACATAAAAACAAGAAAAATATGTCTAATACAAGGGATAACAAATACAATTTCCACTTCAACCACCAGGAGGTCTTAAATCTTCATCCCTGAGTTAATCCATGTTGTTCTCAAGGTATTTATATGATTTAGAATCACTTACATCCATATTGATCAAGTCCTTCACAATATCCTCTATCTTCTTTATCTTTTTAAGGTTAAAATTCTTGATTAGAATCTTCTTATAGTCTATTCCATCAGTTGGTTCAAATACTAAGATGTGATTCCTAACCTCTTGAGCTTCTTTAGCTTTGTTAAAATACAACTCCAACATATTAATAACGTCTTTTGAGGCCTCAAACTCTTGAACAAGTTTGCTCCCACCAGCTTGATTTTGATTCATGTTGAGGGAAGGATCTTTAACCTGAGAGAGGGATATGGTAAGTTGTCTGTTTTTCTTGCTAGTAACGCCAATCTAGTTATAACACTCTTGATATAACCAAGTAAACTTCCTTATTTTGTGTTCCAAGTAAACACTTTTTCTCTTTTAACACAACTCCCTAGCATTGATTGATATGGACTCTAAAAGATGCAATACCAAGGGAATACCTTAGTGTTTTAAATTGATCTCTATCCAAAAATGTCCTAGATCAATGTCATGGCATATTATCCCATATTGTACTTCTTCAACATCTAACTCATCCAAATCAAGTCCTTTCCATTACTTTCCGCATAATTGTATTTAACTTTATTAGATGATAAGATTACACAAACTTGCTCCTTGCCTACCCTAGATATGATGTTGTTGACATGAGGAAGGCATTCATCCAAAGATATTTTCCTCTCAGTGTTACTCATCATGATGTTTTTCCAATTAGTTACCTATACTTATTTCAACAGTTGTACCACTTCTTTAAATGTCAAGACTTCTATTGACATCTTCCTTTCAAGACTTATACTTCTGTGATACTAACATATTCCCTTCAACATTATTTCGCCATTATTTGTGGGAAATTTTTTGTCATCTAGTCTGAACATAATAACAAATTCATTTTCTTCAGCAGCTTGTTCATCCTCCTTTAGAGATGAGACCTTAGTCACCACTATGTTACTCATGATGTCTGACATATTTTGGACAACATCTTCTTCATTATCTTTGATGACATCTTTTAACCTAGGTTCACTCCACCACAATTGAGTATAACTTCTTCCCTGGAAGTCACATAAGTAATCCTTCATTTGAAAATTTCCAAGCTCAATAAGCATTTGTTTAAATACTTCCTCTAGAATCTTGACAGACAATATACATTGCACTGTGTCTTTTCCATGAATGAGAATGATCACATTCTCATTATCTTCCATATGATCATTGTTCAAGTTATTGACATCCATACTGACACAACTGATATCTTTCAGTATCTGACCACTTTATTCAATTGTAAGACCTTCTTTTGGAGTATCTCTTTCATGATCTATCCATTCTAAATCCTTTCTCTTCAGCATATGTATGCAAAGATCATCATCTTTATTAGTATATCCAATAGCTTGAACAAGCTGAGTATGAACACCATTTATCACAAATATTGATTCTTAATGAATATATGAATCATTATCAATATTGTCATTAACCTTCACTACATGATACTTATCATGAGTTCTCTTCATTCTATTGGCACAAAGAATGTCTTCAGTTTCCATGTTCAAGTCCTTATTGAGAGATGCACTTTTCTCATCCATCACCCTAGTTAAATCAACATTTTCATCATTTGAAATAAATCTACAATCCTTGCCATTTTTAGTACAATGGATCTCATTCACACTTTTACTTCTAGTCTTCACATATTCTAAATCGTGATCATGGTTGTTAACAACGTCATCGTGAGCTACACCAATATCAACCTCAGCATCTACACGAACATGATCTTCATTCTATTTATGAACTTGAGGTTGTGTCAACATGTTTCACATAATGTCTTCAACATCCTTATCACCATCGGGATTTCTCAAGTTTGTTCCTTGGGAATATTCACCATGATGATATCTTATAGACCCAAACCTGATTTGAGAATTATTCATGTCTCCAATCTTTCAACTAGACTGCAATCCACCACTTCCAGTTTTATTAACCAGTCTTGAGTCATAACCACTCTTATTCGTTGGCTTTTTATTCTGAACCAAAGTATTTTGTTCAAAGTTGGGAGGACCTTTTGACTGACCACTGACCTTCCCTATAATGATACCTTTTTACTTTAGTCTAAAATCATTCTTAAGAGATGATTCAAACTCCTGAGACAAATGTTGGAACATTTGTTCTGACATGTTGGTTTGACTCTCCATATTATCTTTATCAATACTGAGGTCATGTATACCCATGAAGTCTTCCTCAGATATTACCTTCTTCATAAGAATTTCTTTTCCCTTATTGGTTACTCCACCCTTGAAATTGTTGAAGCTCATATTCCTCTTTGATTACAATTAACCAACTTCCTGAAGGTCTTGATTCTTTCCTTTTCTCTACCGTCAATAGTGACATAAGAAATATTTTCTTTAGACATGTGGCATGTACCCTTATCATTACAATGACATTGTTTACTTGATAATCTTGTGTATTGTATGAAATAACAAGCCAATAGTCTTAGAATTTTATTTCTTATTCTTCCTAACAAAGGCTTCCTTTCATCTTCTGATCATCAATTGTTCATAATCATAAGGCCTTTTATGTCCATATTTTCCACAATGGTCATATCATATGATGTTTCTTGTTACTATAGTGATGAGATATCACATGTTGAGTATGACGTTGAGACATATGGTCTAACATTAGAACATTAGTCTTATTTTTAGGTATAACAACCTATTATGAGGGAATCTTCACCTCTTTCATACTCATGCCAAGATTTATTCTCTTCATATAACTGGAAATCTCTCCAAAATCCATCGATCCATCAAGAGAATTTGAGCTAGTTTCCAAATTGTATTCCAACTGTATCAAATTATCTATTTTACTATTTAGTGAAGAACCCTCTTTTAAAACACTTGAGATGGTTGATGCAAGCTTCTTTGAATCCTTCTGAAGTCCACCAATGGTTTTATTATGGATGTTTATTCTTAATCATGCTTCTTTCAAGTTGGAATTCAAGATCCTGAAGAATGTAGCAAACTCTTCTTCACTTGCAGATTCACATCTTCTAGAATAAGCCATCACATTATTGGAAGTTTCTCCATCACCTTCACTATTAGAGTCATACCAAGTGATGAATAGTCCCTTTTTCCGTATCTTTAAAATGTTAGGACCTTTCCCACCATTGGATTTGTCTTTGCCACTGCCTTTATTCCGGGGACTGATGTTGGACCTCTTGTCTTGGATATTTATCCTCTATTTTATTTCTAGATACTTCAAGGAATTGTTAATTTTTTTTCAAAATAAGAGAAATAGAATCTAACATTCCCTTCTCTTTATCATCATGACTTTCCTCCTCCTGAGTATTGGAAACAAAGGCTATACCTTTGTTCCTCTTTTCAGCCCTGTCATTAATGGAAATATCAAAGGTTTGTAAGGAACCAATGAGTTCAGCAACCTTGATTTTGATTAAGTCTCGATCTTACTCAAAAACATTTAACTTTATATCAAACCTCTTCGACAATGATATAATGATTTTTTAGCAATCTTTTCTTCAGACATCTTTTCTCTTCAGGAAAAGAAAGTGTTGGCAATATCACACAATCTTATGTGGAATTCGCTGATAGAATCATCCTCGTTCATCCTCATATACTCAAACTTGGTGGTAAGTAGTTGCAACCTTGACATATGAACTATGGATGTGCCTTCATGTGCAGTCTTGAGAATCTACCATGCTTCTTTAGCCTCTGAACATATGTTGATCAACCCGAACATGTTCTTTTCTGCACCATTTAAAATAGCATTCAAATCCTTGGAATTTCCAAAAGCTTCATCATCTTCAGCATCAACCCAATCAGCTTCTGGGTTTTAACATGGTTGTACCATATTCAGAAGTAGCCACTGGATGTTTCCATCCTTTTATCATAAGTTTCCATGCTTTATTGCGTGTGGATTCTAGAAATACAATCATCATTGAATTCCAATAATCATAGTTGAAGCAATCCAAACCTGGTGGTTTGTTGATTGATCCTCCATCTTTCATTCTCTCCATTTGAGCAAAATTTATCTTCCCTGGAGTTCACCCAGCGGGCTAGGGTTCCTACTCAGATACCAATTAAAATTATGTTCCTCAGGGGACAAAGGTCGTATCCAATATTGGAGCAACTAGTTTGACAAGTTGCACCAGAATGACATAAATTATACAATTTGATGGATCTAAAAAATGATAAATAACACCGAGAATCGGTAACCCAATTAGTTGGAACCACATTTACATCTGGATGGTTGAGTCCACATGGCAAAGAAATGAAATTCACTATTAATAGCTTAGTACATTTAGACTTACAAGCAACAACAATCCCATGTTGTTCAATGCCTCTTCCTAACACTACCTAATGATTTTATATTTAGAGTCTCCCCCTAAACCTGAGAATCCACTCACTTTCTTTCTCTATTACACGATCCGTGACAGGATTTTATAACCACTAAACCTTAGTGATCAACTTCAATCAATAAGACGAATAATGTTGAATTTTGCAACTCAACTAGACAAACCTTTTATGCTAAGTTACTAAAACATAGAGGTGTACATATAGATTCTACACTAATTCTATTATGGAATTAGCATGGGATATAAGATACAAACAGTGATACGGTGGGAGAACTGACTAGGGTGTTTTGCGCTTGATCGCAAATGTTGCGGTTAGCAAGAGTCGCCACCGACTTTTCTTTTATCCAAAAGGAAAGGTGAAAAAGCACAGGAAAGACCTTTGAGATTATTTCTTGAGTTTGGGGGGTAGATTATGAAAAGGGAAGGTATTAGCACCCTTTTCATCCATGGTTTTTCATGGGCTCTTAGTTACTTGCTAGATCACTTGCTTTTGTTTGGAATTATGCTTTGTGTGGTTTTTGAAAGTATTTTTGTAAAGAGGCCATTGTTTAGGAAATCTTTGTAATGATTCTTGTTTGTAAGAATTTATACAAAGATGTTGATCTTTTGAAAATAATTTCAAGTTTTGTAAGATGTTTTGAAAGTGTAGGTGTTTGTTTTTTAAAATAGAAAGGATGTTTGTTTTGAAGTAGAGCAAGTAATTTGGAGCAATCTACCTACTCAAATGTCTTTCTTGTTCATTTTCTTTTCCTTTGATATTGTTATCTTACCATTGATTTGGTAAGTAACCCTATCTTTGGATGTAAACAGGACGGGCGTGGGTCATCGTATAACCATGATTAGAAATGTTGCAAGGTATCTTAGCATTCTTTTTGAGGGACTAAGATCATTTGTAAGGCAACTTAGATAGCGTCATCGAGGGACTATGATCTTGTATTTTCTTATTTTTGCTAAGATACCTCACATGCGTAATATGGCCGTTTTGTATAAGGAAACCTAGTGGAATAACCCTAGGGGTGCTTCTGTGCAAGTGTATAATTTTCATGCTTGTTTTTGTCTTGAATTAGGGTTTTCTAGATATTGGTTTTAGTCTTTCCATACAAACCCTAACTACTAACATGTTATGTGAAAGCGATTAATTGCGAAATTTAAAGTTACTAAGCTATTACAATATTTGTGGGGAGGGGATGTACAAATTGTAAATGGGGATTGCAATAATTTAAACCTAATTAGTCTATTACAACCATATTGAATTGGTATGAATATACAAGAAATTAAATAAATACAAAGTATAAAAATGAATAAATGCACAAGGATGCAAAAATGTAAAGAAAATGAATTTTTGTTTGGTTTTCATATAAAAAATATTTTGTCTTAACCTAATTAAATAAATAAAATATTTAATTAAGTTTGAATTTATTAAGAAAAGATTTTAAAAGAAAACCCTAATTCTATTAATTAATCAAAAGAAAATCAGTTTAAGAAAAGTATCTTTTTTAGTATTTTTTATCTTGAAAATATTTATAGTATTATAAAATATTTTTAGTCCTTTTTATATTAAAAATAATGTATTTTAAATGGTGTGGAAAATAAATAAATAAAAACATAATATTAATTAAGTTTACAAGATTATTTAATGAAATAAATAAAGTATAATAAATAGAAATATTTTTTATGAGAAAAGTAAAATAAAATAAGTCAAAATATAAATATATCATTTTTTGTATTTTATGATTTTTTTGTATTTAGAAAAATATATTTGAGAAAAGATAAATGAAATATTTAAATAAATAAATAACTTGGGCCAGGGGGTGCCAAGAGTCAATATGGAGGTTAGTTAGCAAAAACAAAAATAAACCAGGCCCAAAGGGCCCAACGCCTGCCAAACAAAAAAGTCAGAATTGTAAAAATATGAAAAAAATGAAAAAAGGGTATCAATGGGGCTCGAACCCAGGTCCCATAGGTTACAAGCGTGCACTTCTACCACTGGGGTGACTATACATCCGTTAATACAAGTAAAACAATAAATATGTAAGGAAAAATGCACCCTGAAGACTTCATCTTCAACCTCCAGCCAGACCATCTGTAACTTTCTCATTTCTCATCAAAAATGAAAATTGTAAACATGAAACTTGTAGCAAATTTTCTCACGATTCCAGAAATGTAAAGTATTAAAAATATAGATCAAATATAAGCAAGAATTTTAATGGCCCTAATCTGAACCCTAAAAATTTCATAAATTTCAGTTTCAAAATTCTCTAAGCTCAAGCAAAATTAATGGAAACTAAGGACATGGTTAGCTTCAAGGAAATGATATCTACATGTTTTATTCACAAATAAACTATTGATGATGCCTGTATGAAGAGTTTCAAGTTGATAAAACATACCTCAAAACTGGAAATCGTGTTTGGAGTTTGAGCTTATTTCAAGTGATGGTGATGATCAGATTAGCTTCTTTGAGGTCCTAGGAAGCTAATGCAATGGTTTGCTCAAGTTGAGAGTGGCTGAAATGACTTGGAGAAGTCAAGTTGCAGACTCTGTTTTTTGGTTATGGAAGTTATGGTAAATGATGTTATAGTTCTGGAATAAGGATAGGGATGAGTTGTATTTGATGTAAGGAAGCTTTAGAAACTAAAAGACCAAGAAACGCACAAGGGAAATGGGAGTTTGATGTTCAAGGTCAGAAATTGTGCAATAATGGAGTTTTTGGGAAATTTATGATTTAAGAGAGTTTTGGTGTATTTCAGGGTGCTCAAGCTCGTGTTCTAGCTCACAAATAGTGACTATATTTACAAACAACAAGTTTGGAGTGCTCTAGTTGATTAGAATTCAAATTTACATGTTTAAGTTAAACATGTGATTTTTTGACAAAACAAGTTTCTATGACTTGTGTACTTGCTAAGATAGAGTGGTTATGCTTTAAACAAGCTTGCTTCTGACTTTGTG